ATAATATAAAAAAATTTTATGAAATCAGTGTTTATCAAAAAGATATGTTGGGACCAGCAGTTAGTATAATGGCTATGGTGCTGGACTCCCATGTAGTCAACCGTGGTTCGAGTCCCGGACCCAGTGGCTTAAACTCATGCCAGGTGCATGTGTGTGCATGCCCAAGATCCAGAGAGGAGAATGGAGGAGAAGGGATTGCGGCGTGGCCATTCCCCCTAGAGGGTAATTTCTCGCTTTCTGTCTCTCTGTGTCTTTCTGGAGAGCAGACCCACCCTATAGCAAAAACCTCTCCAAAAAAAAAAAGGTATGTTGAATATGTTGATAGTATGGGGAGTAGTTAAGAAAATCTGGTTTTGATTACTCACTTTGCCATTTATTGATCTTGAGGAAGGTGCCCAACTTCTAAAGATCTAGCTTCCTTAATTACAACATGGTGACAAGAATATTTACTTCTCAGAGTTGTTTTAGAATTGAATATTATATAGCATTTATAAACATATAACATTACTTTTATTAGATAAAAGGGCATGCAATTTATATGAGGATCCTTATCCATTTAAAGAGATGAAAGGATTTTATGAATTCTTTGGTGAATTTAAATACATTGATACATTGTTATGGTAATTTGTTTTTTAGAGGGAGAGATTTTTGCTATAAGGCATGTTTGCTTGCTGGAAAAGTAGAGCGAGAGAGAGAAATCACCCCACAGGGGATGGCCATGCCTTAATTCCTTCTCCATTCTTTTCTCGGGTTTTTGGTCATGCACCCACATGTGCCCAGCATGAGTTTTAAGCCGCCAGGTCTGGGACTCGAACCACAGTTGACTATGTGGGAGTCCAGTGATATAATCATTACGTTATCTGCTGGCCTCATTATGGTAATTAAAATATATATATATTTTAAAAGTTATTTATCACATGTGGGAGAGCAAGAGAGCCAGGGTCACCTGACAGGGTTCACACACTGTGATCCCTCCAAGCCTTCCAGCCTTGTGAGTTCAGGTTGACCTGACATCCAAACCTCAGACCTTCCCATATGGCTCCAGTATTGCACAGCAGCACCTCACTGTCTGTGCCACAGTGGCTGGGCCTAAAAAATATTTCTTTAACCATAAGAAGCAACTATTTGCTTTTCCTCTTTGGGTTCTGTAGTACTGTTTGTATGACTGTTTTAACATGTATCATATACAATTGTTATTCCTATAGGGCTGGAACTCAGACTTACCAACTTTATATTCACAATGCCATTGTATAATTGAATCTTAGTTACATCTTTCTTGAATTACTTAATTAAATAGTAATGATCCTTTATCCTAGGTTTTACATAAATCTGTTAACCTGAATTTCATATATTTTTGTACTATTCTTAATTAAGATTAGTTGATGCGTTTTCAGTTTCTTTTCTATAGACTGAAACATTCAAACTAATTCATGTTTTACTCTTGATCCTATCTTTCAGGACATAATATTATTAAAAAATAACATGAAAAATATTTGGAAGATAGCGTCCTAGTACTCACCATGGTTACTCGTTTGAGATGTTCATTTTTCATTATGCAAGCAAACATTTCCTTATTAGGAAGAAGCTTACTGAAGTGAATGATATTGGAAGCCAAGTGCTTTTGTGTTTTGAGTTCCCATCACCACAAAGAACTATGTATTTAATTTTATTTATCATTATTATTATTTTTAAATTTGCTCCAGGGCTCATGCACTCACCAGAGAGAGGGGGAGAGAGGGAAAGTAAGAAAACAAGCCATAGGGTCTGGTACTTGAACCACAGTTGGCCAAGTGGGAGTCCAGCACCTTAACCACTATGTCCCTGTGTTTTGAGCTTTTACTCATTTATGTTAGCTGTGTAATTTGATCAGTAGGTTAGTGATCATCTAATTAGTTAGATCTCACTGATTATTTTACAGTCGTTGACAAGCTTCTAGCATTCTTTTAATTTCATTTAGATGTGCAGTTTGAGTTGTATCTCTTAGGTACTTTTTAATTTTTAACTGGGGTTAAATTCACATAGGATCAACCACTTTACAGTGAATACATCAGTAACATTTAGCATCTTTATAGTTTTGTGCTACCACTACTTTTATTCAGCTCTGAAACCTTTTCAGCATCCCAACAGGAAACACCATAACCATTAAACATTCACTTCCCATTCCTTTCTCACTCCTGTCCCTGGCAACTGCCACTCTGCTTGCAGTCTCTATACATTTACCAGTTTCATATGAATAGAATTATATAACGTGTGGTCTTGTCTGGCTTCTTCCACTGAGCGTAATATTTTTGTGGTTAATCTCTGATGTACCATCTATCAGTACATCATTTCTTCTTATGACTGAGTACTATTTCATCATATGTACACCACAGGTTGTTCATTCATTCATTTGTTAATGGACATTTATTTGGGTTGTTTCTATCCTTTGACTATTGTGCATAATACTGCTGCGAACATGCATATGTGGGGTGTGTGTATATTGGGGTTGGTGGAATGGTTGAAATCTGCCTGCCCTAATCTATCAACTGAGGCAACATTCCTTCACTTTCTTTATCAAAGGCTGTGTCCTTCACAGGTCACCCTTCCTTTCCAAATAGGATTAATATTTTAGAATCCTATCAATATACTTTTAAGCCTAGATTATGAAAACCAAAAATAATCAACAGTAACTTACACAAATTGCTTAACATACTGTATGTCGGGAGCCAGCAGTTAGCATAATGGCTATGTCGCTGGACTCCCACGTAGTTGACCACGGTTCGTGTCCCGGACCTGGTGACTTAAAAATCACGCCGGGTACGTGTGCGTGCGTGCCCAAGATCCTGAGAAGAGAATGGAGGAGAAGGGATTGCGGCGTGACCATCCCCTCTGGGGGGTGATTTCTCGCTTTCTGTCTCTCTGTCTGTCTCTGTCTGTCTGGCGAGCGCACACGCCCTATAGCGAAAACCTCTCCAAAAGAAAAGAAAAACATACGGTATGTCTAATTCTATATTTATAATATAGAATATAATTTGTTCTATCACATTCACTAAAGACTGCTTTAATTTATGTGTCAATAGATGAAAGCACCTTGGAAGTTTTAAGTGCTACATGCACTTAATGTACCTTAAAAAACCAACTCAAACATGTAAAATTGTTTAATTTTCAAACAGTTGTTTGATTTAAATTGAAATCTTAAATCTTCATGCGTAAAATAGTACTACCTAAAATGTGATCTTCTCAGAGCATTGCCTCCTGGGTATGTTAATAGGTATTATGTGTACAGTGCTTCTGTGGATAAATCATTGAGAAAATACTGGGTTAAATAAAGTTAAGTTTGGTTTTTGAGACTTTGTACTCTCTCCTTTGAGAGCAGACAACATACTTTGATTATACAAACTGAGAGATACTCTTTTCTGGGGACTGGCAAATAGTGTAATGGTTACCTCGCTGGACTCCCTTGTAGTCGTGCATGGTTTGAGTCCCAGACCTGGCAATTTAAAACTTGCCCTGGCACGTGTATGTGCATGTGCCCAAGATCCCCAAAGGAGAGTGGAGGAGGGATTGTGGTGTGGCCATTCCCTCTGAAGAGTTATTTCTGCTTTCCTTCTCTCTGTCTCTCTGGCGAGCACACTCACCTTATAGCAAAAATCTCTCAAAAAAAAAAAAAGAAAGAAATACCTTTTTCTGGGAAATACAACTCAAGATATATTTTATTGTTCTCAGTTTTCCAGCTCTATGTTCTGAACTATGATTCTGGTTTTTACAATTTCCTTTATCTTAAATAGTAAGAATATTGAATTAAAACCAAATTAATTTTATTAATGGTGTTATAGTCATTAGTGCTTAAGTAGGAGAACAAGTAATTCATTAATCCTTTAACTTATCCAACTAACTGTATTTTAAGCTGTTTTCTTGTTTCTTAATGCTTCTATGCTACATTCAAAAGCTGTTTTTAAAAGACTTGTTTACACTTGTGAGTTTTTATTAAATGCCAAGGCCTGACTTTAGATATGGCTTACCTAAGAAGATGAGATCCAGAACATCATCCTGAGAATGTTCTCATCACAGAATGCTGAATTATTAGAAATCTCAAAAATCTATGTTAGTTTATGTGTACTTATTGAAGTTATATTGAAATGATACAAATTTTTCTTAACTATTTTCCTTCTATAGTTTTTATATGGTTCATGAATTATTTATTTCTATATAGGATTTTTCCAATTGAAATCATTGTCCTCTGTATGAAATTAAAACTATACTTTTAAAATATCAAAGTGTTAAAGTGATTTAAATGTTTTGTTATAATGGTTGTATTTTCAGATATTCTTTCAGTGAATTTTATATATACCATGTTTTGTATACATGCATGTAATATATGATTTAGTATTTACCTTTCTAAAAGGTGTGTCCTACATTAATTATCTTGAGTCTTCATATATTTAATTTGGCATAGTTAATAAAAATGTGTTATTGAAATTATATTAGAATGCAAAGTACACTTAATTTCAGTTATTTAATTTTACTTTTTGCATATAATTAAATTTATTTGTGGGGATTTTCACATGAGTTATTTTTATTTAAGGAATAATGCTAGTTGAGTAATAATGCTACATTGTAGATCAAGGTAAATTAATGAAAGTAATTATTTTGCTTCCTGATTTTAATTGCTGTTTCTTTATTTTGGCCAGTGATTATTTTATACAATTTGTTTTTATTCTTTTTCTTGATTAATCTTGTTAAAGGGCACATCTGCCACCAGAGAGAGAGAGAGAGAGAGAGAGAGAAGGCCCCACCATGGAGAAAGTCAGCAATCCCTCTCCTACATTTCGTCCTTCCCATACAGATCTTAGGCACATATGCACACATGGCTTGCATGTTTGTCAAGCCACCCAGTCTGTGATTTGAGCTGTACAGGTTGGCCATGTAGGATCTGGCTGCCTGAAACAGAAGGCTATGGACCTAGCCTCTTAATTTATTCTTTTATTTAATGTTTTGTTTTTCTGTTTTCTTTTTCATAGCTTGTGATGAATGGAAAATATTACCGAAACCAAATCTTCATAGAGATGTCAACAGATTTGGACACTCTGCAGTAGTAATTAATGGGTAAAAGCTCATTCTCAGTTTTTAAAGGGTCTGAAATATCAGTTATACTTACTACATATTCTGTGATTTGTTTTCAAAGTTACATTGGCACTTAACAACATTGGGTTTAATATATTCTTACTCTAGAGTGGAATACATTTTGGCTTCTTAACCATATCCTTTATTTTTTCTTGTTTAATTGTGTTTGTGTGTGTGTGCGTGTGTGTGTGTGTGTGTGTGTGTGTGTGTATGTGTGTGTGTATATTTTAAGTCATTCTACCTTCTTTCTTCTGAAGAGCAAATAATGAATGAGTCCTTCTTTGAAAAAATAGAACTGAAATGCTAAAGTGGCTAGACCTAAATTTTTATCAAGGAAAACAAGAATAATGAAAATTAGATTTGTATTTTAGTTCTGTCATTAAGTACATGATTTCTTTTTTTAGAGAGAGATTTTTGCTATAGGGTACATGCATCACTGGAGAGACAGAGACACAGAGAGTGAGAAATCACCCCCCCCCGGGGGGTTGGCCATGTCGCAATCTTTTCTCTTCCTTTGTCCTCTTGGAGTCTTGAGCATGGATGCACACGTACCCAGCATTAGTTTTAAGGGGCTGGGTTAGGGACTTGAACCATGGTCAATTATGTGGGAATCCAGTGACATAACTATTATGCCATCTGTTGGTCCCTAAATATGTGATTTCTGACTAATCTGTTTAATATCCTTATATCCAGTGAGAAATTAGAGTGGATGGTCAAGTTGTCTTTTCCCCTTAAGTTAATATAATTGTTCTATTTCTGTAGCAAAATTTGGTAGTTTGGACTTGAGAGACAAAAAATAATTGTAGCTAATTCATTAATTTAAAATTTGTAATTCAGAATGACATTTTTATAAATTCATTTTATTACCACCTTATTATAATTGTGTAAAACTTTTCCACTGTTCCCATAAAATGACTTTTTTTTAACCACAAACTATGTGAAATATCAATTGGCTTTCAAGTAATAAATAAAATTCAGTGTGAAACAAAATCTCTACAGCTTCTCTGTTGAAATGGGATTTTAAAAAATGTATTTATTTTAATTTTTTTTTTTTTTTTGACATAGGGTGCATGTTCTAGCCAAAGAGAAACAGAGAGAGAGGGAAAGTAAGAAATCAGACTCCATGGAGGATGACCATGCCCTCACCTGGCATTTTGGTCATATGTGCACATGTGCTTGGCATGAGTTTTAAACTGTCTGTTCCAGAACTCAAATCACAATTGACCTTGTGGGAATCTAGCTCTTTAGCCACCACATACCTGCTACCCCCAGGTTAATTTTTATTTTGCCTTTTTTTTTTTTTTTTAAATAATAGGAGTTTCTATTATGGGCCAATAGATGGAAGAGTAGTTACATTACTGGACTCCCATATGGCCTGCTGTGGTTCGAGTATTGGACCCAGTGGCTTGAAACTCTTGCCAGTATGTGTGCGCGTGTGCTCAAGACCTTAGGAGGGGAATGGAGGAGAAAGGATTGTGGAATGGTCATACCCTCTGGTGTGTGGGGGGGTAATTTCTAACTTTCCCTCTCACTGTTTCTTCCTCTTTCTCCACAGAAAGCACATGTACCCTATGGAAAAAACCTCTACCAAAAACCCCCCCAAAACAAAAAAAATGAAACCCAAAGTTACTATCAAATCATTTTTTATCATTTCCTTTTATATTAATAATACCTCTAAAAATAAAAATTATGCGGTTTGAAGCCATGTCAAATTTTTTTTGTCACGGGATTTAATTTTGTTTTGTTTAGGTCCTCTGTTCATGTTGAAATTTTGAAAACCTTTATTTTATTCTTAATTTTTAAAAAAGAGATAAACAATATAAGCTCTATGTATTGATTTCTAAATTCTATGCCTTTATTCTAAAATTATCATTGTAAATAGAAATTCTAAAGAACATTTTATTCATATATAGCTATTTTTTTCGAGAGAGAGGTTTTTGTTATAGGTGTGCACGCTCACTGGAGAGACAGAGACAGAGTGAGAAATCATTCCCCAAGGGGGATGGCCATGCCGCAATCCTTTTTCCTCCATTCTTCCCTCAGGCTTTTGGGCATGCTTGCACACATGCTTGGCGTGAGTTTTAAGCCACCAGGTTCAGGACTTGGACCATGGTCGACTGTATGGGAGTCCAGTTACATAACCATTAAGCCATCTGCTGGTCTGGCTAATATCTATTTCTTAAAAAAATATTTCCTACCTTTTTATAGCAGTAGTTATTTTCTTGCTCAAAGAATTCTGTGTAATCTCTTCCTTTTTTCATGCATTATTGATAAATGTGTGTGTGTTTTTTTAGAGGTTTTTGCTATAGGGCGCGTGCATTTGCCAGACAGACAGAGAGACAGAGAGATAGAAAGTGAGAAATCACCTCCCGGGGGGATGGCCACACCGCAATCCTTTCTCCTCCATTCTCCTCTCGGGATCCTGGGCACGCATGCACACACACTCAGCATGAGTTTTAAGCCACCGAGTCCGGGTTGCGAACCACAGTCGACTACGTGGGAGTCCAGCGACATAGCCATTACACTAACTGCTGGTCCCAATAAATGTGTTTTTTAATATTTAATTTTCTTTTTTTGTAGGGTTTGTCACAGGGCATGTGCACTCATTGGAGAGAGACAAAGAGATAGAAAGTGTGAAATTACCCCTAAGAGGTATGACCATGCCCCAATCTCTCTCCTTCATTAACTTCTTAGTTTTTTGGGCATGCATGCACACATATCCAGCATGATTTTCAAGCCGCTGGATCTGAGACTCGAGCCATGGTTGACCATGTGGAAGTCCAGCATCGTAACCACCATGCCATGTGTTGTCCCCTTAATGTTTCCTTAATGCATTAAGATTTCTAGAATAGTTCACATTTTATTTGGAGGGATTTTTATAAATCATAATAATTCTTTTTTTTTTTTGCATTATATTGTGTTAATATATAATTTTAAAGAACTGTGAAGTCACAAGTATTTAAAAATAAACACTAAGAGACCAGCAGATGGCATAATGGTTACCTTGCTGCACCCCTCGTAGTAGACTGTGGTTTGAATCCTGGACCTGGCAACTTAAAACTCAAGCTGGACACAGATGTCTGTTGCCCAAAAATCCCGAGGAGAAGGATTGCAGTATGGCCATCTCCGCTGGAGGGTGATTTCTTACTTTCTGTCTCTGTCTCTCTCTGTGCCTCTGGCGAGCACACACATCCTATACCAAAAAAAAAAAAAAAAAAATCTCAAAGAAGCCCCACTAAAACAAATATTTAAATTTATGTTCATTTAAAAAATAATTAATTAGATAGAGGCTGTTAATACTGTTTCTATAAGATTGTTCCTTTGTTTTTATTAGGTCCATGTACATATTTGGGGGATTTTCTAGTGTACTTCTTAATGATATCCTTGTATACAAGCCTCCAAATTGCAAGGCTTTCAGAGATGAAGAACTTTGTAAAAATGCTGGTCCAGGGATAAAATGTGTTTGGAATAAAAACCACTGTGAATCTTGGGAATCTGGTAGTACCAATAATATTCTTAGAGCAAAGTGCCCACCTAAAACAGGTAAGTCTATTTCCTCCTTTCTGGCAGCAAAGTTTCTCTATTTATACAGAAATAGGGATGCCTTCTGCTTATCAGAATGACCTTAGTAGCTTTTAGATGTTAAAAATTAGAATTCACTAGTTAGGAATTCTGATGTTTGAATTTAGCCGTGACTAAGAATTAATGTATTTACTCGTTATTTTTAGTTTTTAAATTTGTATACATTGTATGTATAGCAAAATATATACATATATATATAAGATAGATGTAGCTTGGTCATGTATAGGACATATTTCACAATATATTTAAAATGTTTCCGTATATGTCATTTCAAAGAAATACTGTGTGCTTCAGAGAAATAAAATTAAGTAATTTATTCTTCCTTCGGTATTTTTTCTTGAATTATTGCCAAATCACATTATGAAGTCAAACATATTACTGTAATTTGATGATCAATGTTTTAATTTTATATTCCTTATGAAATGTTCAGTAAATAAATTAGACTTATAGAAAATTACCAGTCAATATTTACTTATTTGGCATAAAATCACTGTTGTAGGTGAAGGCATTTATAGATTTTTGATGCTATAATTAACAAATGTATTTTCAATTTTTTGCTAATCCATATTCGCTTAAGTATCTAAATACCTTTATAAAAGAGTGATAAATAATGAGTACTTGTTTTGATATTTTCTTTTGGATGTATAATAACACATTTTGGTCAGTAAATACCTATCGGTTCTTTTACCCAAATGTGTAATTTAAAATGATTCTAGGATCCTGATGGATTGCATAATTAAGATGGAGTTAGAAGATATCTGAAATCCTGCAAAACACAATTAAGCTAGAATGTTGATATTATGTTCATATTAAAAAACTTATTTTGGGCCTAGAAATCCACGAGAGGAGGGGAAGAACCTTTAGGAGAGCTCTTGAATCTGTCGGTTCCCTCCTTTGGTTTCTCTCCTTTGGTTACGTACCAGTTCCTTCCTCCATAGGCTGGCTTTCCAGGTGGGATCCTGTCTTTCCTAGGCACTGAGACACAGCGCAGCAACAGTTGCTGTGCAGCGAGCTCATCTTCCTGGTCAAGGCACAGAAAGTGATGGACATGTTTTAAGAGCCTTGAATTTCTGGAACCTAGTAGGCCTATAAGAACAAAAGTTTTCTTCAGGAAAGAGACAAAATTCAGTTTAATAACATAGCCACAATGTCCAGTGTACAGAGATTGCTAGACTCATGAAGAAATAGAGAAATATCACTTGTGTTGATCAGAAGGGCTTAATGGATACTGATGAAGAGATGGCCCCAATATTGGACTTAATATGTGAAAACATATCAGCAGTTGTTACAAAAAGTTTAAGGTTTTGATGGGAATCCAAGACCTGATGTTAGAAGAACTAAGGCAACTCTTAAAGATGACCTAAAGGAGATTTTAAGAGGAGAAAATACAATACCTGAATTGAAAAGTTCGGAGAATAGCAATAGCAGGGAAGAGGAATAACAAATAAAAGATGTAGCTTCACTAAAAACAGGGTTGGCCGAGAAAATAAAGGACAAAACTCAAAAGTAGTTGACAATATTAAATGTTTAACCTTTAAAAGAGTAATAGATGAGCTCAGTAGCAAATCAGGCAGACGTAGTGGTGAAGGTAAACTAGTAAAAGAAATGGGAAAGGAAATAAACTTAGAAACCTCAAGAATGAAGTGAAAATCCCGAAAGCCTCCAGAGAGGAAAAAGCCTTGCTCAATCAAAGAGCAGTACTGACCCTAGCAGCAGAGTTCTCGTTAGTAACACTGGATATTAGTAAGCAGTGGAGTAAGGTATTCAACATTCTGAGAGAAAATGATTTTGAACCTACGTTTCTATGCCAAGTTAAGTTGGCATTTACATGTGATAGTGAAATAAAGACATTTTAAGGCATAAAAAGCCTCAGAAAATCATCAGCCAAAAATTTGTTATGAAAAACATTACTGAAAGATGTGCTTCCCAAAATTAAGACAGAAATTATGAAGAAAGAAAATGTAGAATTTAAGAAGAAATGGGAAAAATTCTAACAGATTGCAAGCATGGAGTTGGAGGAACAGCGAGTGATGGCTTGAGCTTTCTCTTTTATTAAAGAGGTAAATTTTGCTAAGCAAGGAGGAGGGCCAGAAAGAATAGTCTTCAGCATCAAAACAAAACAAAACAAAAAATAAAACAAAAACCCAACCTGGAGGAAGAAGAGGCCTCAGAGGTGGAGGACATGGAGGAAGTGTCCTGAGGGTTGAAGGAGGAGGATGAAGAGTGAGAATAGATCTCAGAACTGGAGGAGGAAGAAGAATTTCACAAAAAGATGGAGAAGAGAACTCAGAAATAGAGGAAGAAGAAGAGAGAGAAGAGACCTCAGTGCTGGAGGTGAAGGACTCAACCTCTCAGGGTAATGCTGTGGTAGATACAAAGCATGAAGTTGAGGAACTCACCAGTGATGGCTCAGAGATTGTTTTCAATGATAATTATAAAATGTTTTCCCACACATATTTGAGTATTTCATCAGGAGTTGCTGATATTTTAAGAAAAACAGAGGAAGAGGAACACAAAATGCGGCAAACAGAAGAGGTAACGAAGCAAATGAAGCAAACTTAAAATAGGATGCAGAAAAACACTTTAGAAGAAGTGTGATTAATATCAGAGAGGTACTAGAAGAAACCAAAAATACAAAAAAATTACCATCCAGAAGTCTTGGAAAATAAAAATTTAGTAGATGATCTGAGTAGTAAAATGGACCTACTGGAGGAAAGAATGAACAGTCCATAATGTTGAATTAAAGAATTCTCAAAGGATACAATACATCTGACCAAAGAGACAATAAATGAGGAAAGATTAAGAGATAAAGAAGATAGATCCAGAAGTTACAACATTCATTAATAGGAGTTCCAGAAAAAGATAATAAAGAGAATGGAGAAGAGGATGTGATTAAGGAAATAATTGAAAATAACTTTTTAGAGCTACAGAGATAGTCAAGGCTCAATATTGTCAGTGCTTGCTGAGTACCCAGTAAGGTCAATGTAGAGAGACCCACTCCTAGACACATTTGGTAAAATTTTTGAATTCCATTGATAAAGAGAAAATAATGAAAGCTTCCAAAGAGAGGAGAATCATAACCTACAAAGCAACAAGAATCAGATTGACAACAGGCTTATCACTGGACAAACTGGATGTTAGAAGCCAATGGAGCGGTATTTTGGGAGTTCTGTAAGAAAAGGCTTTAAACCTAGAATCCTATTTCCAGCCATATTGGCATTTGAGTTTAAAGGTAAACCACAGGTTTTCTTTTTTTTATGTTGAAGAATTCAGAGTTTATTTTTTATACCCCCTCTTAGAAAAAAAAATTGCTGAAGGATAAACTTTAACAATCTAGAGCGATTAGAAACACACATGCACAACATACCTTCTTCATACCAACACGCACACATATCCAAAAGTTGACAGTAAACCAGAAAGTATAATATAATATCTCTAACCATAAGGATGTATGGCTAATGGTATACTTGGGGATGACTGGAAAGGAAGTTATAAATAATACCTAGACATTGGTATAAAGTTAAAGTGCATATTTTGAACATTTTAATGGTAACCATCCTAGCTTATATGTAGGAGTAACCTTTCTATACTGTTAGGGATAGAAGGAGGCAGTCACATTTTTAATGTAACTGCTAGAAAAAATGACTGAAAAGTCATCTTTTTAAAGTCACCTTTTTTTTTTCAATAGAGAAGTACAGAGAAAAAGATGATGAGTTAAAATATAAAAATGTAGAAGCTGAATGCATAAAGAGAAGGATCTTTCATAACTGTTATCATTTATGATGTGAATTTCAAATCTGTATTAAACCTTTTTCTTTGAAAAAAACCTTATTTTGATATTCAGTGTCTTTTTTTGGTTAAAACATGTCTTAGTGATTCTTAAATAGATGTTGTAAATTTGTGAGATAGGAAGTGTGATATTTCCTTTTTCATCTTGATAGGCTCTGTCTCTCATTTGTGTTACAGCTGCTTCTGATGACAGGTGTTACAGATATGCAGATTGTGCCAGCTGCACTGCCAATACAAATGGGTGTCAGTGGTGTGATGACAAAAAATGTATTTCGGCAAACAGTAACTGCAGTGTGGTTAGTATATTTGACTCAATGGTGATGAAATTAACATGGCTGCTTTATAATAATTAGCTTACTAGTTAATAGCACTATCCCCCCAAACACCCACACTATAACATTTAGAAATCTTGTAGGGACTCATTCACTTCTTGGTACATTGTAAAGTGAGTCTGCAGTTTCTTGCTCAGGTTTGTCAGTCTAGTTTTCATTTTGGATCCAGTAACCTTTGATTTTTCATGGGAAAGACTAAGAATATTTTTAGAAACTAAATTTAAAAAAATGATTGCAAGTGTTTGTGTGTGTGCTGATGGAAGTTGATAGGTATTGAAATAATTTCTATGGGATTTCGTATTGAAATAATTTCTATGGGATTTCTGTCAGATATGCATTCATAGTAGTATGATCTAAATGTTTTGCTTACACATTTTGTATGCAAGTTTTACCTGTGGTGTTGATAGTGGTAGTTTCCTTTTTATCAGTTGTTATGTTACTGTTTTTCGATTGGATGTGGTTTTGTCCTGCAGAGGACATTTGGCATTATATGGTGACATTTTTGGGTATTATAACTCTGGGGCTGCCACTGGCATCTAGCAGGTAGAGGCTAAGGATGCTGCTCATCATAGTAGGATATTAATAACAGCCCTTCTACAACAAATAATTATCTAGCTCAAACTATCTATAGTGTTAAAACTTTACTTTAGATAAAGAACTACTGAAAATTTATAAATGCAATATTTTATGGTAGATTAAATGGACTAGAAGTGGCTAAAGTTAAGCTCTTAAGGAAATAGTATCAAAACATCCATGTTTTTAGAAGATATCAACAAACAGAAAGAAACATTTTAAAAGAATTATTTAGTAGGATTAAAAATTATTTTGTCAGGCAGTGGTTTAAATAAAACTTAAACTGTGCTACAGACATTCAGCTAAATATAATATACATTACTCTTTCTGAAACTTTAATCAACTGACGTAGCCACTTATCTTTCAAGATAGCAGAGTTAAATATAAAGAATAGGGAATGTGAAACTAAATGAAAATTTTTGAATGTATCGTCCAAAAAAATTCTCCAGTAGCCAGTAGTATTTAAAAATATTTGTTTTGTGATTCTATTCTAAGACACTATTTGAAACTTAAAGTGGAGGAAAATTGTAACTATTGACTCATTAGACTGAACTCTTTTGCTTTTATACATGTTCTATTGGCATAGAGTATCTGAACCTGGGTATATGTTTTTGTTTTTCTTATTTGATCTATAAACTTGATTCTTTCAGTGCCAGAATTAATTGAAATATGATTAGGTCATGTAGTAGGGTTGAAAAAAAAATGTAACTTTACAGGTTCTTTGTAGCTTCAACAAAGAAGGTGACAAATACATAAAAGTATCTCTAACTTTTACTAATCATTTATTCTTCATGTGGTTTGCATGATAATTTTGTTAAAGCTAGAATCATTTCATGTCATTATTGAGGGGAATGATTTTGTGCATAGGCTTTTACTTATTGAATTAGAAGCCTGTTTTCAAATTCACTGGGAAGTTTTCATTAGTTTTGTTTCATATTGTGTAATTTGTACACACTGTTTTTCGATAAGCACTTACAGCAATTACAAGAACAATGGTTTAACTTGTTAAAAGAAAACCTTTGAACAATTTAACAGAATTTATTTGAGCAAAGAAGGATTCATGAATCAGTTAACACTCTGAGCCAGGAGAGACTTAGAGAGCTCCTTCCAGCAATGTGCAGAAAGTATTTATAGACAGAAAAATGAAGTGACAATACAGAAAGAACGTGATTGATTACAGCTCAACGTTTGCCAGATTTGGTGACAGTGCAATAGGCATTTGCTGTATATGCACATAGTTTGATCAGTTGGTAGTCTGTGATTGACTGAAGCTTGACTTCTGAGACTGGCTGAAACTCAGTTACTTGTTATAAGAATGTACGAGGGATCCCCAGAAAATTTATGGAAAATGAATGCTTTTTAAAGAATTATTTTATTTAACTTTATTTTAATTTACTTATTTTTTAATTTGACCAGAGAGCGACATTGTAAGAGATAAAGAGAGAGTGAGAGAAAGTGAGAAAGCAAGCCACCAGGTCTGGGACTCTATCCACGGTCTGCCATGTGGGAGTCTAGGGCCCTTAACCACCACGCCACCTGCTAGCCCCGAAAATGAATATTTTTAAAAACTATGCATGGATTTTAAATTTTTTTGTACCAAAATAAACTCATGCTTCAATTTTCCATGAACTTTTTTTTTTTTTGGAGAGGTTTTTGTTGTAGTGTGTGTGCACTTGCCAGAAAGACAGAGACAGAGAGACAGAAAGTGAGAAATCACTCCCCCACCTCCCCACCAGGGGGAATGGCCACTCCTCAATACCTTCTCCTCCATTCTCCTCTTGGGATGTTGGGCACACACACACACATGCACCTTGCATGGGTTTAAACCACTGGATCCTGGACTCGAACCGTGGTTGACTACATGGGAGTCCAGCAACTAGCCATTACACCAACTGCTGGTCCTTCCATGAACTTTTTGAAGTTCCTTTGAATTCTTAAATTAGGCTGCTGTTTACTATATAAAAAGACAGTTTTAGGCTCAGTTTAATTTAATTTGGCAAACTAATGGAATAAGAGAGATTATAATTCAGTCGAATTGGATTTGGATTTTGAAATCTGTATTTTAAAGTTTACCAGGGGTTTGAAAATGCAGTGACATTTAAGAGTCATTGTATGAAGGTGAAAAATAACATGATTTATCTTTTAATTTTCTAGTCTGTCAGAAACTATACCAAATGTCATGTGAGAAATGAACAGATTTGTAACAAACTTACCAGTTGTAAAAGCTGCTCACTAAACTTGAATTGCCAGTGGGATCAGCGACAACAAGAATGCCAGGCTTTACCAGGTAGCTTTTAAAATTTGGTTTACACATGAATATTGTTACAGAAAATTATATGTGGTAAGAGCATTACATTTTCTAAAATTAAAGCAATAGCAGATATTAATATTAAAGTGTAATCATTGTTTCTAAAAGAAAAGTTTAATAATTGTATATTTGTTTCCAGTTCTTTTGAGATATTCATGATTTGTTGTGTTTACTGTACTGTTGAGTTAGATAACTAGTCTTTAAAAAAATTATCTTTAAAACCGTAGAAAGGGCCAACCC